TTCTGTGACTTTTTGCAACTTCACAGCAGTAACAGCACATTAGCAAATCACATATAGCAGCAAGCAAGGAAAGGCATGGGCAGCAAAGCAGTAAAAAGCTAAAACTATAATTGGTGACTTCGGAAGTCCTGATACTCCCTATGTTTCTAATTATAGGATCCAGCTGAATGCATACGTTATACAATAGAAGAGACCATCGTACCTCAAGTTCTTTGACCTGGGCTCTTGCAGTGTGAGACTCTTCTCTCAGCGGCTGCTGCAGGCCAAGTTTTTCCTCTGTAGCAACTACCCAAGCCAAGAGATCATTAAGAAGTCTAATGTCTTTCTGACATTTCTGCTGTATATCAGCCTAGGGAGTAAAAGATATAAGCAGAACCATATATGGTTAGTGAATAATTATACTGCTTCAGTCTAGGGAGTTAAAAATATGGTGAACATGCATATATGGTAACTGAACAATTATTCTACATCAATCTAGGGAGTTATAAAATATGGTGAACATGTCCATAGACGGTACTTAATTATTCTACATCAGTCTAGGGAGTAATTATATGATAAACATTACAATATTTTGATATCTGGTAGCTTGTTTTCAATTTTGTGTAAATAAAATTATGAAAAAAGCAAACCTCTTCTTGGAGCTGCATTTGTTTTCTCCCTTTCTCTGCCTCTAGTTCTTTGAGTTTGTTGTCAGCCATTTCCTGGACTTTCTCCTTTGCTGATTTCAAATCGTCCACAGTCTTCTCAATATCACGTTGCTGTTCTGGAGTAAGTTTATCTTTATTTTTCAGGAGGTTCTCCTCTGTCGCTTTGATAATGGTGTCGATGTCATTTTGCCGAGTGGCGAGTTCATTCTGAACATCCTGTAAATGAGAAGTGTTTGTCTAAGAGTAAAAAGTTGTTGTGGCTTTTGCCCGAGAATTTCATTACTGCAAGAGTTTTGGAGAAGTATTTTATTAAAATATCTCTTCAAAAAGGATGTATACATGACCTTGAAAGGTCACACTTCCTGGTACTTTCAGGGCTAACAAACGCAAGAGATCTGTGACTTTTGACCTATATTCTCACCTGTTGTACTTTGAGTTTTTCATCAACTTGTCCAGTATATTTGGGTGCATCGACTGAAGTCAAAGTGTCACCCTGCTCCTTTACCCAGTCCAGCATGCCCTTCAGACTCTCTTTCTTTTCGGCAACATCAAGGTTGGTGTCAAGCTGTTCTTGTCGATCAGTTACTTTATCATCAAGAGTTTCGTAGCGAGTTGTGATGTCTGACAGTTGTCTTTGAACTGGTGTTGGCTCTGTGTATCAAAAAGTAAAGAATTTGGAGTTGTTTTTTGTCTATAGTAGGTTAAAGAAGTGTGAGTGAGAGTTTTATTCAGGCTTTAACAATTTGAAGACTTCACATGTGAGAACAAGTGATGGTGTAAAAGAAATACCAGAGAAACGGATGCCAGTTAATAGTAGAAAGGTGTTGCAGGTATTGTAGTGGCCGATCCCATGATAAAACCAATAAAATTTGAAGGGCATCATACCATGGACAATGTGGCAGATGTTCTAAGTAAGCATTGATGTGAGGGAGACAGTCACCCTCTATGGATGGCCACTAAAGCAAGTGGATATTGTCACTATGTGAAGATAGCCACTAAAGCAACCTCCTCATATGGACATTGTCACGATATAAAGATGGCCACTAAATCAACCTTCCAATTACCACCACAAAAACTTGTCTGAATCAATCAATAATTATTTCTCATAAACTGTTTACCTTTAAAAACAACTTCTGGAGCGTCTTCCTTTTTCAGAGTCATTTCCTCTACATGTTCTACTGGAGCTTCACTTTCTTCTAAGATTGTACTGCGTACATGGGGCACCAATGGAGTGAGCGGTGCCGTCTCTTCAGTCATGGTATCCAATGTGGTGCCGAGTTCTTGTGCCTTCTCTACTTTAGGCTTGAAGGCTTTTACGTCTTTAAGGATTGGCTGCAGATAACAAAAAGATTATGTTGCGTTAAATGTTGTGACATATATAGTGGTGAAGAATGATGAGTTGTGCTTGATCGGAAAAAAGTCAACTAATAAACTTTTTTTTTTACTGGAGTTGTTCTTTTAACATAGCAACTAAGTATATAAAGTAGAATCAGCTGCAATAAAGCTGTTATAAATAAAACTGTTTGTTTCCTTACTTTATGCTCATTCATTTGCTGTTTCAGGGTGCCTGTGTCATCTGCAACGGCTTCTAATTGGTCCACTTTAGCCTCAGTCTTATCCAGCCAGTCTGTTACGTACTTCACATGTCCAGTAAACTGACCCTCAGCAAACTGGCGTTCCTCAAGTTGTTCATTTCTGTATTGAAATAATAGAATAATATTCAAATCTTTTTGCCTGAGTCTCTATTTCGACCAATCAGATTAAGTTATTAGAATATTTGAGCCAATCAAATAACTGGTTTTGCCTTACCTCTTCTTGAGAGCATCCAGCAGGGCTTCCCAGTTTTTGTTGACATTATCTATGATATCAGTGACTGGGGCGGTGTTGCTGGCTTTTGGATCTTTAGTAAGTTCCTTACTGAGTCTGTTAACAGTGTCATACATCGGATGATATGTATCCATCTGTTTTGTGACATCCTGCAAAACAAATTAATCAATTATTATTATTAAAATGTCTATAATATTATTGATCCTTGCCTAAATCTTTATACAAAAGTTGACGAAGAAAATGAGCTGATAGTAAAGGCTCAAATTCGAGGGGAGTTACACAAGTTTTATGATGACAGTGTACTCAAAGAAATGACCCATGTACATGTCAACACCAGAATGGATTGGCAATATCATGACAATAATACCTTTTGTTTCTGTGCCAAATCTTCTGCTGGTTTTCTACCGGTCTCTACAGATTCCACATCTCTCAGTGTTGGCAACAGCCAATCTTCTAACTCATCAACTTTATCCAGGAAATCTGACAACTTATCCACTCGTCCCTGAAGGTATAAACCACGTCGTTTGGCTCGGTCATCCAATTTACGGAATCGGCCAGTGACGTCATCAACCTGAGGTTTCATACTCCTGGATTCTGGTGACTTACGGATGGCGTCCAGTGTTGGTCTGTGGTTGTCAATATCTGACTGGAGAACCTATAAGCACAGGTATATAAACAAGAATGTTTATTTCAGTTGACAAATTTGGGTACTTTTACTACACATGTTTTGCAAAGATTTTGATGAAGATTTTGAAAATTAACAAAAAAAAATAAAAAAATGCTTTAAAAATAGAGCTAAATATAGCACAAGAAGGATTGTGGAAAAATGTCATCATTCAAAAAGTTAAGAAAAAATCTTAAATAAAAAGCAGATAAAAACAGGGAAATCATCAACACTAACCACAGAGGGCGTGTTCAAACACAAATTTAACTGAGTGTAGAGGCTACCTTAATCATAAGACTGTATAAATGCACAATAAATACGTTCAGAAAAAAAATGAGCTTTGACATTCACCTTGACTTCTTGTAGCAGGTCCATGAGTGGTTCTCTTTTGACCACAGGGGATTCTTTCTCCAATCTGTCGACCTCATTCTCAGCTTCTTTCAACCATTCATCCAAATCGTTAAGATTATCCACAACGCTCTGGGATTGTGACAACGATGTTTGAAGTAGCGTACTCCTTGAAGTAATTTGATACTGAACTCTCTGATATCGGGACGTTATTTCCACTGAGAACAAATTGAATATTTGATTAGCAGCCAAGAACAAGAATCAACGCAGGATGTATGAAAAAGCCACACAAAGTAGTGATAACACTATGCTGTAGCTACTTACAAATTGTCTTGTCAACTTCTGGTTTATATTCGGGTTGACTTTCCATCAAGTCTTTAGCATTTTCCTTCAGGCTGTCAATATCCGTACCATGAGAGATGACATCATCGTTCAATGTCTTGAAATGAAAATTAAAGAGTTTGTTAACAAATAATAATCAAAACTTACTTACATACCAATAATATACTCAATTATCTCCAATTTGCTAACTCACTTCAACATGCTAACTCACGTTTTGCTCACCATTTCATTCACTCTAGCATGATTTCTCTTATCATTCATTCACTCACTCATTTACTCAGTCACTTGCTTACTTGTTCTTTGAAACACTGAGCCACTCATTCATTCTCTAAATCTCTCACTCTCACTGAACATCAGAAGTGAACAGCACTAAACTCACCTTCAATTTGTCAATTTGTTCCTGTATCTGTGCCGGCTCAGATTTAACTGGTTCCTGCACCAGACTTGATGTCTCAGTCTCTATCTTTATCAGCCAAGTTGTAACCATGGTGATTTGGTCTCGGAATACCTGGTACTTCTGTGCGACGTAGCCAACTTTTGATGTTTGTTTGTCAAAGTCAGCAGTAAGTCGATCATATCTGGTATTCAAATCTGTGATCTTATCATGAATGATGGCAGGTGCAGTCTCCTCTTTGTACTCTCTAGTAAACTGCTTTGGTAGAGCGGTGGTTCTGAACTCTGTTATCTGAGTCTTGTATTCCTGTTATCCAAAAAATGAAAGTTAGCGTAACAAACATGTTTAAAAGAGACAGACAAACAGACAGGGGTAATGACAGACATTCAACTTGTACTTCACATGCGAGAATAAAAATCCAATCTAAACAATTCCATAAATGAATTTTTATTGTTTGTTTTTTAATTTTCAGAAGAAAAGTTTTATCATAGTGTGAATATAACAGTTTTGATTTTAATGTAAATCATATTAAAATCAGATATAAATATTTATGACAATAAAATAAAAAATAAAAATAAGATTTTTAGAATACTTTACAGAACTTAAGTAAATGAAATCAAAAATGTTTTCCTCTAACCTTGGCAACGTCCAAGAACTTCTGTCCATCTACATTTATGTGTGAAAGATCCTCTTTATGTCTCTTGACGTCATGGTTAAAACTCTTCACAAGTCTCTCATGATCTTTAAGGCCACTTATCTCCTTTGGAACCACCTTAAGAGTAGTTGCTAAGGTGTCCTCCTCATTAACTAACCAGACCTCAAAAGTTATGATTCGCTGATAGAACTCTTTCAGATTCTCTGCTGAGGTGGTAAGCGTATTTACTCTCTCTGAAGTAACTTGCTTGACAGTGTCATAGCGTGATTTCAAATCATCTGCTTCTTTACGAAGTTTCTCTTTGTCGTTATCATCTAATTTTGTATCATGTTGATCCAAGAAATCCAGAGCTCCCTGGACAGCTTTCGTCATTGGCTGTTCATGGGACACCACATCATCTTGGATGGCCTAAATTTGAAGAAAGATTGATTGAATTTCATGACACTAATTACTTAACATATAATGGCATCTTTTTTTTTGCATTATTTATTTTACCACAGGGTGTGTACTTTTTGTACAAAACACAAATAAAACAGTTGAAAAAGGGTTGATTTTGGCCATAGAGGGCATATTTTTAGTGTATTAAAATGTGATTAAAAAACTAATGTGCTATAATTTTGCTGAAGCATATGATCAACTGGCGAACATTTCTACTTAGAACCGACAAGTGTAGGATTCAATATAGGTAAATTTCTCATAAAGATTCTAGAAATAACTGGAAATAATTTGGATAATACTGAGGTGTATTTCCGGTAAAAAAAATCAAAATGTCCAGTTTATATGCATTTTAAGGTGTATTCTAATAGTTCCCCTTTTCATAAAGAATTGTGGGTATGTTTCAAGGCATAGTTGCAAGAGATATAGCAAAAACGTTCAAAAAATACCAACAATACTTTAGAAAAGAACAGATTGGCTTTATAACATGGCACTATCAAAACAGTCTATTGAAGAGATATGCTATACGGGTCC